TTATTTTTATTATAAATTATATCTTTGTTATAGCATTACTTAAATATTTATTAAAAAACTACGCATCAATTCTTATTGCTCACTATATAAAACTGACTAAAGTGGTTTATAAATTTTGTGTAAGTATGAAACCTAAACAAGTAAAAATTTAAAAACTAACACCAATCAAATTCTAATGCATGTATTTATGTGTTACTTCTCTCTGAATTCATCCTCACCTATTTTTTTTTCCTAATTTTCTGGAACAATATAATAAAAACAACTCATTTGGGGGAAACTTGTGCTGTACTACCAAAGCATGAAGTGTACATACTCAGTTCCCATATCCAAAATAATAATAATAATAATAAAAAGGATTCCCCAAAAGAGAAAAATCAAAATGAAGTACCAGCCAAAAAAGAAAACGCATTCATTAGACATTTGGGACTAAACACTTAAAATCATCTGACTATACTTCTATTCAGAAAATGTGCATTTGTCAAATAGATAAGGACCATTGTGAAACAGGTACATGAAAGACAGGCAGCATGACCACCCATTAGCCATGACAATAGACACAATCATCTGACTTTGAAGAAAAGCCAGCCATAACCATGATTCTTACATTCACTACACAACTCTAGGAAAATATCAAGTTGTTCATCTAGGCTATCAAACATTTTGAGATTACACTTTCCACTGTGAAGTTACTACGAAACACAGATGAAAATGACTGTTCATCATCGGTGGAAGCTTTCACGCTTCATTGAGAGCCTAAGCAGGAACATGTCTCTTATTCACAATATACCATCCAACACCAAGTGATGAGACACTTCATAATGACTCAGTGATCAACAATGCAGATGGTTTCAGCAGCAGGAGAGGACATCCAGGGTGCATGCCAGTATATTAGTATTAGTATAATAGACTTCAATGCATAATTTTCTTTGAGAACAAAGTCCAGGTTTAGCTCTTTGTGAAATGGTCGCTTTGTGATATTAAAGAAGGAAAGAAGGTGCTGCATTGAACTGATCCATAGGACTATTCCTTTCCAGACTTTGCATGAACGCGGAAGTAATTTGATTGTCTAGTGTTAATTCCAAGTACATAAAGTCTGCCTTGATGCACAAGGCACCTAATCAACATGTACAGGTGTATATTGTTTTATTGTGCCTCATTGTATTGTGCTTCACAGATATTACCTTTTCTTATATATTAGAAGTTTGCAGCAACCTTGTGCTGAGCAAGTTTATTGGTGCCATTTTTCCAATAGCATTGTTCACTTTGTGTCTCTGTGTCACATTTTGGTAATTCCTAGGATATTGAAAGCTTTTTTCATCATTATTATATTTCCTATTGCTAGCTGTGATCAGTGATTATGATAGACTTAAAGCCCAGATGATGGTCAGCATTTCCTAGCAATATCATTAAATTAAGGTGTGTACTTTTTTTTAGGCATAATGCCATTGTACACTTAATAGTATAGTGTACACAGTACACTATATGTATACTGTTTAATGTATAGTATAAACATAACTTTTATATACACTGGGAAGTAAAAAATTAATTTGACTCACTTTATTACAATAATCACTTTATGGCAGTGGTCTGGAACTGATCTCCCAATATCTCTGAGGTATACCTGTACAGAATATTGCAGACTTCTTACATAGGAGTTGCAGAATAGGAAAAAGAAACCATGGAGGAAAGAATTTTTCAGAGTCAAAGCTGAATCATCAAGCTTCAACACATTTACCCGCCTTCTTTCTAAAAATTCCTAGAAAATCATCTCTTTGACCCATCCCCAAATTTATTTTTCCATATTATGCATTATTAGCTTTAGCCAAGTTTGTCATCTTTATTTTTCCTGGGTATGCACAGCTAAATGGTGGCATGCTGAAGCCAGCTAATACTGGATGACAAAAGCTGACTGTGTGCATCTGTTCCCATCTTCCTTCTTCATTTGTACGACATTGGTCACTGAAATTGATGATGGAGTGTATACACCACAGAGGTTAGTTAACACTGGAAGTTGTGATTTTCCTCTCCCTGCCCCTGCTCCCCAATGAGCAGGCTATTAAATATTTACCAACACACCACTGCACCTCAACAGTGTTGTGTATTCATTCAAACATTTATTATTATGGGTCACATGATTTACCAAAAACAGGTGACAAAACAGTGAGCCAAATAGACATGGTTCTTATTTTCACAGCACTTAACAGGCTTATGTAATTGCCATGCCCCTTTCTTGCCTTATTCCTTACCTTCACCTACATATGTTCTACTCATTCTTTAATCCATCTCTATTTTATATGACACCAATGTCTCCCTTTGCTAAATTTTTACTGTACTTACAAAAGTAATAAATTTAGCAAATAAGAAAAATCTGATTTTCCATGTATTATCTTCTTGACTATATTTCAGGCAACTTCAAAGCGGACAAGTTTTATAATTTTTTGCAAGGTTTGCTTAACATGATATACATTGTAGGTGTCAGGAGCTGGAAGATAGGGGACACTCAAATTTTTGGGACTGAGGGAGGCTAATGCTTTTAATGTTTTAAATAGAATAGTGTGGCTCATGCATTTTCTACAGGTCCCCCCACCCCAAAGGCTAGGGAAAGTAGTTTAAGTGGAGAATCCCAGTCTGGCTCTCACTTTCTCTACCTGTCCTCTAACTTTGTCCTGCAACTGTGAGGGGCCCCATGCATAAATGTGACAGGGTGACCAACCATTTTGCCTGGGACTAAGGGGTTTTGGAGGATACAGGACTTGAATGCTAAAATTGGTACAGTTCCAGCAAGCCATGATTGGTCACCTTTTGGATTAAGGAAAGAGGATTATGCAAACAGACCCTGATAACACATCTCTTGGTCAGAGAATTCTAGGGGTTTGAAAACCCAAAGCATGACCTGGAAAAGGGTCAGTGACTGAGATGGCACATGAACTCTGTTTGGCTATATTCTTTTTACCTCACAGACTCCTTTCCCCCAGAATAATGATAGAGTCTAGGTATCCAGTAGTAGAAACAGATGCAAACATGTTTATAAAGTTAAAGATATTAAAAGCATGCTTACACTATCCTCATTTCTTTCCTTCCGTCTTGCAAAGCTTTTTTTTCTAACCTCCCTGCATCCATTTCCAGTCTATTGGCCATATTATATACAACAAGAATGATATTGACCATATTATACACAAGAGTGATAAAAAAGATAAAGACTTTAAAAAGAGTAATAAAAAAGATGTTTAAAAAGAGAGATATTAACTGTATTATATACAAGAGTAATAAAACCTGTGTAATGCTCTTCAGTGGTCTTAGACAAAAAAGCAGAATCCCTAATTTGGTAAAATGAGACCTTCATGACACACAAGGCCCCTGTCATACACTATTCTCATATTATGCCACTAATCCCCTCACTCATGGTCATACTGGCTTTACTTTACTTACTTGATTTACTCCTGAAATGGTTCAAGTTCTTGCCTGCTTCAGAGTCTTTGCATATGCCAAGCTCCGCATGCCACAGTCACTATATGAAATCCCTTTCCTGATAAAGTTGTCCCTGTCCATGCCTCAGGCTTGCTCAGGGCTTTATCCCAGGCTCTCAGGGCTCACTCTGCTTTTCCTTTTTGGCACATTTTGTACTTTGTAATATGATGATATATTATTTGAGGAGTTTCAAATCCTTTCCTATACTTTATAAGCTCAGTGAGGGCAATACAACATTCCTTGCTGCTTTCTCTCCATATTCAGGTTTACCCAGTAAATAATACCTATTTGAAAAGAATAGGAATATAGAAATAAAGGAAGAAAGGAGAATAAGCAAGCTTTAATATAGTATGGAAAAGTTCTTTAAATTGGGAGTTTTAATATTTCTCTCCTGATATGGATACTTTGTAAACCCTACTCACTTTAAAGATAGGAATTATTTTGTCACAACCTATTTGTTTCTCTTTTTATTTTACTTTTTTAAAATAGGTTCCACGCTGGGTATGGAGCCTGACATGGGGTTTAAAACTCGGAACCCTGAGATAAGACCTGAGTTGAAATCAAAAGTCAGATGCTTAACTGACTGAGCCACCCAGTGACCCTATTCGTGTCCCTTTTAATGAGAAAGCATGAGTGGAGTATATTCACATTGGAAGGAATTTGTTCCATGATGTCATAGAAGTGTGAAACAGCATTAAGGAATCAAAACAAAACTATAAAAATTCAAGTAGGGATTATAGATTATTCATAAATTCTCTTTCTTTCATTTTCCTCCTTCTCACATTCTGATCCCAATCATGAGACTTACAAAATCTCGTATCAGAAGGAGAAAAGTATTAAACTCATCCTCAAGTGTAAAAGATTAATAAGGCATAGTTCCTCTCCTATAGTTTCTAACAGCTGTAACACTTGAAAATGCAAACAGTCTTAAGTTGAAAAATTCAATTGGTATTTCAATTTTGTGGATGCCGTTTTGATAACATCATTCCATATGGCCAAATAAAACTGCCAAAGTTTCATGTTTCTAAAGCGATTATCAAGCAATAAATACAATAGATATGTTTTCATTCTCATCTCTTTTTGAACCTTATCAGACAGACTATGCCAAGAAACCACTTTACCTAAAGAAGGAAACCACATATTCTTTGAGAACTAGCAATCCTTCTATAAATGCTGGTGGGAAATAAGAGTTCTGGAAAATTGATTTAGACAAACTAGACACAACGTATATTGCATAGATGGAGACACCTTCCTTATTTAAACTCTACTGAAAGTATGTCTTTTATATTTAAGACAAAGCCTAGGGCAAACGACTTATGCCCAAGAGGGAAGTGTTTCTCTGGCTATTGCGACAAAGCCCAATTCGTTACCTGGCAACGAAAATATACGTAGCCACTGTCTGCTCTGCGCATGTGCCAAGTTGTACCCACAGAAGCATAGAGTGTCGCTGTATCTATGGTGGGGATATCCTGAAAGAGCGTCTTCTTGACGTCATCAAGACTCTATGATTCCCATAGGGGAAGATGGGCAAATGTATATAAGGCGCATGCGCAGGCGTGTGAGAGCGCGCCTCTTTCTCTTCGTCGCCGGCCGGCCGAGGTTCCTGGTGTTGCCATGGGCCGCAGACCAGCTCGCTGTTACCGGTATTGTAAGAACAAGCCATATCCAAAGTCTCGTTTTTGCCGCGGTGTCCCTGATGCCAAGATCCGTATCTTTGATCTGGGTCGGAAGAAGGCGAAAGTGGATGAGTTCCCTCTCTGTGGCCACATGGTGTCTGATGAATATGAGCAGCTCTCCTCTGAAGCCCTGGAGGCCGCTCGAATCTGTGCCAACAAGTACATGGTGAAAAGCTGTGGCAAGGATGGCTTTCACATTCGCGTGCGGCTTCATCCCTTCCATGTCATCCGCATCAACAAGATGCTGTCCTGTGCTGGGGCTGACAGGCTCCAGACAGGTATGCGCGGTGCCTTTGGAAAGCCCCAGGGCACAGTGGCCAGAGTCCACATTGGCCAAGTCATCATGTCCATCCGGACCAAGCTTCAGAATAAGGAACATGTGATTGAAGCCTTACGCAGGGCCAAGTTCAAGTTCCCAGGACGCCAGAAGATCCATATCTCCAAGAAGTGGGGCTTTACCAAGTTTAACGCTGATGAATTTGAAGACAAAGTGGCTAAGAAGCGCCTCATCCCTGATGGCTGTGGAGTCAAATACGTTCCCAGTCGCGGCCCTCTGGACAAGTGGCGAGCTCTGCACTCCTGAGATCTTGGACAGCATTGACGCCTCTAACCATGCTGGTCTGATATGCTTACCAATAAATATTATTCACTGACAAAAAATAAATGTTTTTTTAATATTTTAAATATTTTTAAGTGTTTATCTGATTTTTAGGATATAGAGTATGAGAGAAAGAGTGTTTATATTAAAACGGAATTTTAATGGCAAATGATACTTTCCTTCGAGTGAGAATGAAACAATCCTTATGTGATTTATAGAGACAGTTATTACAGTTCTAATCCAAAAACTTTTAACTTGGGACAGTAGGGAACGATGTCAAAAGTTTTGTTTGTAGTGAAGTCATAAATTATGTAGCTGTATTCTCACCTTGAATAAAAAAATAGCTAGAAAAAAATCCAAGATTTGTAGAGGTAAAAAAATCGTTCTTGCTTATGGAAAACAAGCAATAGGTATGAAAATAATGATAGGCATTAGTGATATTTCAACTACAACCTCTGGAACTAAAAAATCCATTCTTAAACTTGTTGCTTATGTTTTCCTTATCCATTTCTGCACATTGATTTTAGAATTTCATATGACCGCTAATTATCAGCCTTTGGACAGCTGGCTATAACTGCAAAAGCTTTCCTCAGATAAGCCTTTTATTATCTCACAGTCAGGAGACAACAGTCCAATCTTTTCTTTATCACCTGAAGGTCATAGGTTGATAACAGAGTTCACATTACTTGTATCTGAGTCCCAGTAGAACCAACAGAAAAGAGAAAATGACAACAAATCAACAATCTGTGCTCTAAAAGGACCCTAAAAGGGAGTTTACAATCTGTAGGTGCTTGCCCTACATTCGAGTTACATTGATCATACAGGTGTTTTCGTTTTGGAAACTACATAAGCTAAAATTTCTGGGTGTGTATTATATTTTAAAATTCTGGTTCTTTAAATTATTTAGTCTTCCAAATCTCAATCTTGTAAACAGTGCCCTCACCTCTCTAAAACTAACCATTTTTAGGCCAACATATTGAATGAAAGCAACAAAAGGAGTATTAAACAGTGTGGAGACATATGCTTATTAAATTATTTCCATTTACTTAAAAAAATTCCTTTGTCAAATCTAAAAGTTTGCATCTGACAATATTCAGGCTCCTACTGTAAGAGATGTCCTACTTTTTCAAGAAGGTTGCTGTATTAAGCTACAATATTTTTCATATTATATATAAATGAGAAAGATAAATACTAAATAATACAAATATGTAGAAAGAGTTCTAAGCAATTTCCTTTATGTATTTTATCTGATGATTTAAAAACTCTTGAACTTTTCTAGGAAATTAAATCCTGTACAATTCAGAAATTAGGGTAGACATGAACTAGATCTTCTGACTCCTGTCCGTCTAGTTTACTTTTTGCCACAGTCTTTCAAAAACAAGAACTCAAGCTCAAATGAAAATTCGAAGCACAACACAACAAAACGAACAGTCCCTTAGTTGCCGTGTTAATATAATGCAGTTTTGAAAATACTTTCCATCTTTATTATTCACCCTTCTCTTTGCTCTCAAAATTCTCATACATTTTGACCTTCAAACTTGGAACTCTGTATTCACTCACTAAATATAGGTAGGTGATAAGCCCATGAATGTCTTTGTCAGGTAGAGACTGGTAACTATGATTGTTTATGCATATAGACATGTGGATGAAAATGAAAGATTCAAAATTATTACATTAAAAACTGGTAGGTGTCATTAAGGTTTATTATTTGATTTTTTTCTACAGTTTTCTATTATAATCTATTACATAAATTTTATTTCCTTTACTGTTGATAGAAGGACACTTTCACTTTTTTAAAACCAAAAATCCTATTATACTCTTTAAGCTATGATTTTGTTTTTTCAGCATTTTTCTGTTTTCTGGTCACTTTAGTTATTAATAAATTGATAAGAAGACAGTTGTGCTGAAGGATAATTTGATTGCATTTTTTGCAGAGCTTGTCATTATTTCTGAATTTCTATTCAAAATGGAAAATTTAATTTGGGAATATATTATGTATTCATATATTCATGCACTACTGCAATGAAACAGAACTATCTCCTCTTTAAAAAAAATAGTACAGTTACTAAATTCAAGTAAATATTGCCCTATAAAACTCTGATTTGGTTGATGGAGTCTCCACGTTTCTTGGAAAATACTGACTGAATCAGAAGATGATGAAAACTTCAATTGGACCATGCATCATTATCAATTTAGTTTTGAAAAACACATTCCACAAATTATCATTATATAATCCACCATTTCTCCCCCCGTTCAAAATATGCAATTATACTAAGCATATTTAGCCTGAAGCCCTTAATTTTTATAAAAGTACGCACTAGCTCTGGCATGAATTGACTTGTCACTAGCATTGGCAGGTATTTTATTTCCACTTTAGCAGCTTGGTACTGCCTATCTCAACAAAGTTCAGGTAGGGCTTTCTGATTCTTAGAATGTCATCAGGGACCTAAGGATTACGTTGGGAGATCATTTAGCCCCAGTCATCTTCTGTCTTTATATTAATGACATACATTTGGGGTTTTTCTGAGAGCAGTGACTTCAGTCTTTTCACAAAAATACCTTTCTTTAATGTAAGTAATGCAGAAAATAATGAGTAAAGTCAAAGTGAATTAAATTATACCATCAACAATAATTCAAAGTGAAGTCATTGCCATGCTTAACAGTAGATAATAAGGGAAATTCTGGCATTAGGATGACTGGATTTAAATCTTTGTTTCTCCACATACTTGGGCAAATTACTTAGTATCACCATTGCTTAATTTTCTTAACTGTAAAATAAGCTTAAGACACGATAGATCACAAATTTGTGTTTAGGAGTAAATGAGAAAATGAGTAGGATTGTGCCTTGCACATAGTAAGTGCATAAAATTAGTGTTAATTTATGTTGATATCCATGTTATCACTACTCCATTTGCTTCTGCCTCATTGCTTCTCAGTTTCTGATTTTTGCTGCATGTAGTGTTACTATTCTTTCATAATTTATATATTTAATATTCTGTTTTGCAGCTATTATTCCCTTCAGTTGTCTAATTTGAGTTCTATGTTTAATTGGATTCAATATTCTGATTTGAGTTTTTGTTATTTCTTACCTTTAGTTTTGTAATGTTTACTTTCATAGTATTCTAGTTGGTCATCTATTCTTGGAGCTCCTTTTGAAAAATTTAACTGTGCTCTACCCGTTGTCTTTTATATATTACTCATGGAGATTTGCTTCATTTCCTTTTTCTTCCCCACAGATTGGATTTTTTATCTACCTTACCGTTTTAATTCAATATTTCTTTCTTTTTTCTTCTTCTCCTTTTTCTCATTTTTTCAAAAGAAAGATTATATGGTTATCGTACCATTATTTTCATAATGTTGATGTGTGATAATAGACTGTTCTACCAGCTCAATTTAATCTGAAAGATTGTAGGGAACTTTCTCCAGTAACGCTTTCACAAAGTTTTTGTTATTTTCTTTCACTTAGTCCTCTTTCTGGGTACTGTAGTTTGAGGACTGGATTTTGTTACCAACTCTTCTGTTGTTTCATGATGAAAAGCTAGGGAAAGGAGGGAACCTGAGGGGTCAAATATAGCCTTTGATGGGTGTTGGATTCTGACTCAACCTCTGGGATCCCATTAATTATCCTGCACCTAGGCTCACTCCTCAAGGTCAGGCACGCAGTCTACTCTTCCAGCTGTGGTGTATTTCTTATCCTTGCTCCTGCTGCTGTGTAGTGCAGAACACTGGAAAATGGTGAGCCCAAGTGTCAGCATCTTTGGTGAAATGTCAATAGGGGTTCTACCTGTCAATTTTTATACAATTTGAATAGTTACACAAGGATAATGTATACTTAGTACACTTCCTCTCATATTAGGGCAATAGTGAGACATTTTAAAATCTTATGTTTCTTTAGGAATGTTTCTAGGAGTCTGGAAAGATTTGAAGAGGCACATTTCATAAATGGTTATTAAATAATCTACTATTTCTCCCCACCCCTCAAAATATGAAATTATACTAAAATTATTTAGCCAGAGATCTTTAATTTAAAAAAAAAAAAAAGCTCTGGCTATTATATGAGAATACATCTTCATTTTATGTCCTTTTTTCCTCCTAAATTTATGATATGCCTAAGACATGACCTTTTCCTTAGTGGCTTTTGGCTGTATTTCTTTTACTATATTTTTTTCATTTCATTAGGTGTTGGCAAGGAGATTCTTTGATCCTGTCTTGTTTTACTTCAGTTTATTCACCCAGAAATACTCTTAATGTTATAGTAAAAGTATTTCTGAAATTTTAACTTTAAAACAATTCATGTAAAAAATATGCTTCCACATGTTTATAACAATTCCTAGTTATCCTTTATTGGTGTGGATCTCTAATAATTATTGCTAAAATTACTCTATCAAAATGAAGAATTTTTAATATAAATTCTAAAAACATTAATTTTGTATTTGTGTCCATCCAGAATCTTGATAATTTTTATTATAAATAATTAACCAATTAATTCTTCATATTATAGAAGTTAAATAGGCTTCTGAGAGTAATTGATCAAAAGATAATTTTGTGCTCCAAAGAATAAGATCATGTTTATAGTAGAAACTATCATAGTTTGAGAATTATACTATTATACTCTTCAAGGGTTCTACTCATGAAACTCTCTGTTGTCCCAAGTTGACTGGTTACTGATAAAGAAAAATATAAGAGGTTGTGAAGGGCCATGGTATCTTTTGGGAAATGCAGGGTCTTTAAAGGACCAACTATTCTTTCTCCTCTCCGGGTGGGTAGATGGGGACAGGGGACAGACAGTACATCGATTTGTTAGTAAACGGTGATTTTCTTTTGCCTAAATGTTATGAGTCATCAAACACCACCACCACCACCAAGATTATGCTCGTAGTGGGGACAGGAAGAAGATGGCAGAACTGAGATAAAGAGTGTCAGGGGTCAGCCCTCATCCCCAGTCTCTGGCATAGTAAAGATATGACTTAAATTTCCCTTGGTGTAGAGCCATCCTAG